GCCAAAAGTGGACATCACGATAGTAAGACATATATAGGCAGTATTATGCATTGCAAATGAACGTTGTTGGCCTAGGGATTAATTACATTCCCATTCTATTTCCTATACAAATGTATTTATTAAGGATATATTGCATTTGCTTATTTCATTACACTTTAACGATTCACATTAGCACTTTTACTTTTCTAAAACAGCTTTCAATCCCTTGTAAACGTTGTACTTACCTCAATATTGGTTGGTTATCGTATGCCGACAACCACGGGATGAAAACGAAACGGAGTCGATTTTCCTGCTCAACCTAGAGGTCAGCCGTACAATTCAATAACTATACGGCCTGGTTCAGACAATGAGTGTATTTACACATATGTCAAATATTTAACTGTTGAAACATAATGAGCTTGTAGACAATCTGCGATTTGACATTATATCATACTTGATCGTGCCTGTAAAGCTGGCATGCATTTTCATGTAAATATATATGTTTATATGAAAATATAAATTATTATTATTGTTCTTGGAACGGTGGAAATATGTTTTCCATTCTTTATCAATGTTTAGAGGTTGACGGTATTGACGTTTGCGAGCAGTACTGAGCATATTAACGCAAGATCTTATACCAACAACTTCTAACTTAATCGTGTACCAAAAGCAAAGCAAAAGACCACAATCGATTGCCCAAATTACTAGATATATTTCGGGACCAAATTGAGAATTGAAGCGGAAGCTAAGCTAGCTAGTTATCGTGCACGAACGTGACACGACGGAGTACCAAATGGCGGGAGTGCTTGACCGAAAGCCTTCAGCTAAACAAGTCTACTTAAACAGTGGTGGTCAGCATCCAATATTCCCTGGTGATAATTATAGTCAGTAATTTTGGGGTATTATTAACCGCTACAGCTCAGTCCCCCCTAGCGGGGTTGTAAGGACCTTAAGGCAGAACCAGCCAGAATTTAAAAAAAACTCGATGGTTCCCTTTCGGGTGAAAAAGATCCTCCGAGCGGCTTGGCAACGTGCCTACTGGTTTGTTTGCATATGCTAATAGGGTGTTTGTACGTCGCTTCCTTGGTGTTGTTCATTGGATCCCGTGCTTCGTTTGTTTCTTGTCCAGTGCCCGTCGCACCTGGAAAAGAAAACAAGAACGCTAAGAACCTTTTTCAGGAAAATGTACCAAATCGGCGTTTTTAAAAAAATGATGTGCATTTACCATACAGTAAAATAATGCAAAGTTTAGAACATCAAAAAGAATACATCTAAATTTTTTGGTGCATGTAACATGTGCTGTTAAAGAAAATTTTTTTGTGTTTAGTGGTACTGTATATCAAAAAATTGATGCGTCTGAAAAGAAAAAAAATTATTAGTACCACAAACGAATGAGTTGGGTGAATCACGCTAAGTTATGTTATATAGGTGTGAAGATATTCTGGGAACCTCACGATACGTCCAGAACGGGTTTTCTTAGGAGGCTCGACAGAAGATTTGGTAGCTGTCGCCGTGCTAGTGACTTCATCGAGGTTTAAACGATCTTCGGTTACATGTGGATTATGGGTACGTTGAGCCCTACGCTAATAGGATTGCCCCCCAAGTAAGCCGGTTTCAGACGGTCAATGCTGACGGTGTCCTCGCGGCCTTTTTTGTCTAAGACAAAGAATTTCTCCGAACGTTTAATTGCTTTATAAGGTCCGTCGTATGGGGTTCCAGAGGTCCACGCACAGAGTCACGACGAACAAATACATGTAAAGAAGTTTTCAAACACGGGTGAACAAAAACATCAATGGACTGTGGACGAAGGGGAGCAGGTTTAACTGAACGTATTGCGTTTGTAAGCCTGCTGACGTGTGAAGCGTGATCTACCACTGGTGGGAAGCTCGGGGGAGAAACAAATTCACCAGGCAGTCGTAGTGTCGTACCATATACTAGCTCGGCGCTAGTACAACCAGCTCCTGTTTTCAGGGCCTTTTGTATCCCCAGGAGAACTAACGGAAGGGATTCAGTCCAGTGGGTGTTGTTTGCAGTTGACAGACCAGCTTTCGACTGTCTGTGTGGACGTTATGCTATACCATTAGCTTGAGGATGGTGGGCTGTTGTTCGAAAACGCATGCAGCCTATGATTTTAGTCAGGGCGAAGAATAAGCCACTTTCGAATTGCCGCCCGCGATCAGCTGCTATGGAGGATGGGCATCCAAAGTTAGCTATCCATCTTTCTACGAAGACGCGTGCGACTGTTTCAGCAGATACGTCCTTGATGGGTACTGCTTCCGGCCATCGTGTGAAGCGATCTATGCAAGTTAAAATATAAGTATATCCATGTGATTCAGGAAGGGGACCAATCAAATCTATATGGACGTGTTCGAAACGAGCGTCAGGGAGAAGAAAGGTGCCCAAGTGGGCTTTTGGTGTGTCTCATTACCTTGCACTTTCGACAAGCTAAGCACGTGTGTGCGCATCCCCTTACTTCTTTACAGTAGTTCGAATACCTGAGTGAGATAAGCCATGCCACGTATTGAAGACGTTACGGCGATAACTTTTAGGCACGATGGGGCGAGGAGTACTCGTGGAAATGTCGCATAGAATAGTATCTCTTCCCATACGTAAGGGTTTTGCAGCTAATTGTAGGGTTGTTTTCCACAACTCATGTTGAAGCCCAGTATCTTCTTTTTGAAGACGAGCCAGTTTTACAGTGCGCAAGGTCTATGCCATCGATTTGGGTGAGGGAACAAACGCGCTACGATGCATCTGCCACAGTGTTGTTTACTCCGGATACATGGCGAATATCTGATGTAAACTGTGAAACGTAATCCAGTTGTCGTGATTCCCTCGGTGAATACTTATCTGAAGGTGAGTTCAGAGAGTAAACCAGAGGTTTGTGATCAGTAAAAATTATGAAGTCACGACCCTCTACTGAATGTCGAAAATGACGCATAGCACAGTACATAGCCAGAAGTTCTCTGCCGAATGTGCTGTAGTTCGTTTCAGCTAATTGAAGGCGCCTGGAGAAAAAGGCGAGTGGTTGCCACTCTTTGTTAATTAGCTGTTGCAGATCTGCGCCGATTGCAGTGTTTAATGCATCAACCGAGATACTTAACGGTGCCGCCGGATCCTGATACATCAGAAGTGTGGCATTTGCAACAGCTTTTTTAATCTGGGTAAAAGCATTTCGAGCAGACGCGTCAACTTCGATGGACTTGTTATTCTCTCGGAAAAGGTCTGTCAATGGCTGAATCAGAGAGACACAGTTGGGAATAAAGCGTCGATAATAACTTACCAAGCCGTTAAAAGTGCGGAGACTTTTCAGCATCTGTGGCTCTGGAAAGTTCAGTATAGCCTCAACCTTAGTAGCCAGTGGGCAAATGCCCTTGCAGTCAATAGTGTGACGCAGGAAGTTGAGTGAGTCAACGCCGATTTGACACTTTGGAATATTAATGGTAACACCATGTTTGTGTAACGTTTCAAATGTCAAGTCCAAATGTCTAAGGTGAGTTTCCTTGACTGGACTGGCAATGAAGCAGTCGTCTAAGTATGCACATACAAAGTCGAGACCACGAAATACTTCATCAATGAAGCGTTGGAATGTTTGGGCTGCATTCTGGAGACCAAATGGCATACGTAGAAATTCAAAAAGTTCGAAAGGCGTAATGATAGCCTGCGTATCTATCGTAGATGAAGTTCGCGGTTGGGCTCACCAGTTTAGAGGTTGACGGTATAGACGTTCTCGCACAGTACTGGGTATATTAACGCAAGCTCTTATACCAACAATTTCTAACGTATTTGTATCTCGCTTACCAAAGGCAAAGTAAAAGACAGTATTTGATCATCCAAATTACTCGATATATTTCGGGACCAAAACGAGTTGTTAGACGAACGCTTAGCTGGCTTGTGATCGTGCACGAACGTGACACGGTGGAGTACCGAATGGCGGGGATGCTTGACTTAAAGCCTTCAGCTAAACAAGTCTACTTAAACAGTGGTGGTCAGCATCCAGTGTTCACTGATGATTCCTATGGTCAATAACTTTTGGGAATTATTTACCGCTACGCACTCTATCCAAAATAATGGCACATCCCCAAAAGGAGCTCAGGAGTGAGCGCATCTAACTGTTTATGCACAAACGTATAACTATTCTTGCCCTCATTACATCATGCTCGTGTCAGTCCTTTCCGTCGGACCTGAACCTAAGCCTCACTCTGACGTTGTCCAGGACAAGTTATCGTTACAATGGAAGTAATTACATTCTATGGCCTAGGGTGACGTAGTGGCAGGCTGAAAGTCAAACCACTAGTCAGTTCTCCGTCTTCCACAGTTTTCACATCTGCATGAAGCTTTTCTGAGTCCCCCAAGCACTCCATTCCCTCCCAAATCTCTACGTCGTTAGCATGAAGAATAGCCGGGCAGTTTATGCACGGTAGGTCGCTGATAAAAATCAAAAGTACAAATGGCCTCTTGATGGAATCCCCCGATGTTTAGCAGTGTGAGGATGATCGGACGTGGGCGACATTTTTGAAGAATTCCCTTTCGTCTAGGTGGAAATCTAACCATGAAAAAAAGTGGGCCGAAAGCACCTGCCTGACTTATAGTGTGACAGAAGAGATAATGTTGCACTGTGTCAAATGCCATCACGAAATCGAGGAAGACCATTCGGACTGGGGTATTTATACCACAACATGGTTCTCGCTCATTCAAAGATGATAATAGATTCGTAACTCAGGATCTTACTCCCTCGGAGCCATATTGTGGCTCGTGGAATGTTAGTTTGGCCGAGATGTTGCCTGATATGATCATAGTTTATTACCACGAATCGAAAAACCTAGAAGGGCAACCTTAAAACCCCACATTCACCTCCCTTATCATATAATAACATTTAATCCCCATAATCCTATTTTCTTGGAAAATTACAACCTTATGTCCATGATAGAAAACCTAGAAAAAATTGAACTATGTTCTGCTTAGACATAACGGTTGTTTGAAATCATATTCACTTTAAACCCGCTCTCTGTGGATGAGACATGCTTCAAGCATCTGATGTAAGTTATTGTGGCTCTCTATGTATTTCACAGGTCCATTCTCTTGCTTTGTCCAAAATAATTAAACCGGACAAAAAGCCGGTGACACCATTAGAAGAAGAAATAGCGCAGGTGGGTTTTTGAACGGTTTCTTATATAATTCGTCAGGCTATCATAGATCTGCAAATTCACGATGATTGGTCCGACACGATGAAACTCTTGTACTTTTGTGAAGCAAAGGTTGGTTCTCTATGTTAGTTTTCATTAGCAATAGGAAATGACGATTGGTAAGGAGAAGGCAGTTGTGATATATGTTCCCGTGCCTCAACTACGTACGTATCAAGTGATACATAACCGTTTGGTCGGCGAGCTTGAAAAGAAACTTCGGGGTCCCCATGTTGTCCTCCTGGCTTTCCGAAGAATATTGGCTAAACCAAAGAGGAATTGCAAATTCAACCCTAAACAGAAGCGTCCGAGAAGTAGAACGTTAACGGCCGTGCATGAGGCTATTCTCAAAGATCTTGTGTACCCAGCCGAAATAGTCGGGAAGCGAATTCAAGTTCGATGTGATGGCAGCACACTGATCAAATGCCATCTGGACGTCGCCCAAAGAAATTACATTGAGCACAAGGTAAGATTGAGATAAGTTAAAAGGCAATTTTCTTAGTTGAAAACCATCACTGGATTATACAAAAAGCTGACAGGCAAGGATGTTCAGATAGAATTCCCAGACTGGGTCCTGTGATTTAATGTAATATATGCTTGAGGATGGACCAGGTTGTTTTTATTTAAGCAAGAGTGTAGTTTGAGTCATGACTTGTCCAAAGGCAGCCAAAATACTTCGGCACCTGTTAATCCGACAGGCGCAGATATATTGAGGCATATTGTCCGTGTGGTACTGGCAATGGCGTTCATAGCTCAAGGTTTATGGATTTAGTCATTTTTCGTTGAAGTGGTTTTCGGTGCTGATCGTCATCCAGGCAGTAATACTGCAAGGTCAATGTGCAAGTTAGTAGAGTTTTTTTCATCGGAACTCAACGTTAACACCAGAAGTGCGATATTTATATGGACTAATACTTCAACATACAACAATGATTTAATTACTGGAATACGGGTTATATTACAGCTATATCCTGGGTGACAACTTGTTAGTGACTGCCACTTTATTGGCTGGTATATTTTATGGAGTTGGATTTGGCTTGTTTAGTTTTTTGTGGTTCATCATTCTGTACGACCATGAAAATTCTCCAGGTTTTAGTATACACGATGCTTTTGTACTCTAAGTGGTGATGTGTTGACTTTGAAGAACAACTATGTTATTTTCTCTGGGACCTGTCTGTTTATCTGTAGTTAGATTAATTCGTAAGCTTTTAGGGCTGAGCACCGTGAAATCGCATACCTAATCAAAATGTTGATGTTTTTTAGTTGGTCTTCCTAATCAAAAAGGTTGTTTTTTACTAATAGAAAAGTTGAGATGCATGTTCTTTTGACCTTGAGGTTTAAGACCACTAAAATTCCCATTTTATTCACTTAATTGATAGCTTTTGCGATAGTAAAGAGTAGGTTATGCTGAGTTCAAGTCTGTGCAGTACGTATAGATATAGTACAGTCATGTGGCTGACGGTTCTTTCATAGGATTTCGAGTAGGATTAATTAACTTCTTGTCAATAACTCTGACCATGCCTAACTGTATAGGGTAGAATAAAGCCCCGTGTAGCGAAGGGTATGTGGCTTGTACGGAAGATCTGAGAGTTCCTACCTGTTTTCTGGCTCGAGTGGTGTAGTTCATGTGTCACACCAATGCCATTGGTTCACGCTGGCTAGCCACGGTTTCCTATAGACCAACTACGATAATAAGAATGATCTGCCTGGCGTGATTTTCTGGTATTCATTTACTCTTCAGTTTGTTGAATTAAACATCGGTTGAAATGTAAAGTGCATCCTGAGCAAATAGGTGTAAATTTTGTGGTGTACACCTTTAACTTGGTCTCATTGATGTACTAATTTCTTCACATTGAAAGAATGTATCCGTACATTACCTAACTGTATATTCAGTGTGTGGTTTGAGGGAGATTCACTTTCTTGTAAAAGACTAAGAAAGCAACCGGTAGTGTCTAACTCTGAATGACATTCAAAATCCCACTGCTAGATCGTGACTGCAATATTCTATGACCTAGATCTGTCGTGAAAAACTTGAGTCAATCAACATGGCACATATGAGGATGTAGTTGCCTCTTCTCAAAATGCGATAATGAGAATAGGTGTTATTTCCCTTTAAAAAAGGTCTGTAGTTCTACTGGATCACGAATGCAGGCGGTAAATGACTTTCAAGTTCTTGATGTATGTAAACACTAAGTTCAGTTGCGATTCATCTTAAATTAGTGATATAAGTTTAGCCTTCATTTCCCCAGTGCCCAATTGAGTGGCAGCTTGTAATGACTATTCGTGAGTGATATTGTGCGGTAATAATAATAAACGTATTCAACATGGAATTATGCCGTTACAGCATGAATATTATGAAACTTTAGTAGGAAATTATTATTGCTTGGCACCGAACGCATATCTAGAGCTTCCGCGTTCAGAGTTTTCTGGCTTCACATGAAAATGTGTCTCATTACCCACATACATTATCATGCAGTCGATTAGTGGGTAGCTCACCACTGCATTAACACGATGTAAAATGCCAAGTGGCAAAACAGTTAGTGTCATATATAGAATAATTTATAGGATGTATAGAACTGGGAAGGAGTGTGCAAATAAAGGATTAGCAAGCAAATCGAATAAAATAAAAACGTTACGCAATGTCGTGTGAAATTTGATAACATGGAATTTAATGTTGCAAAACAGAATCGATTTAGAATGACAAGTGAAATAATACCGGGGACAGTTCAAAGTGAGAACAGTAGTAGTGACAGTTGACGTAATAAAAGAAGAGCATAAAAATTGAATAGCACACTTAGGTTTTGAAAAATTCAGCATCTATGTGCGTGTAGTTTGCATTTTCGTAGTCGAGACTTAATTCATGCAGCCGAATATACATTTAACTATCCATGCTTCAGCAGGTATTCTAATTTAAGAACTACTTAACAAATTTGTTTGTTTGTGCAACAGATGGGGTTGATAACTTATTCCGGTGAATTAGGGCGTCAGAGAAGCTCACCTAATTTCATCTACTAAAATGTCCAAAATACCGTTAGACGGAATATACGAGAGTATATCGTCTGCGTCCGTTGTTTAGCAAGTTCAGAAATATCAACCATATGCTGAATGGGACGTTTGTGTCGTTCTTACTCTTCATTCTGTATAACAGATAGTGGATGTTACTATGAATTCCTGCTGACTGTGGTTCAGTTAGATACTTCTTGTGCTTACACTTGGCTAAAATCTTGGAATTTAAGAATTGTCTCATTTTCAAAAGATTAATAGTTAGCTTAGGTGCCTTCTTAGATACTCAGAAAATAATGCGTAAAAATAGGTGTAGGCGAAATTTATTATATGACTTCTCGCTTTTCTTTGCAATAAGCAACCCAAAAGTGGATGCAGTAAATTAGAGCGCTCGAGGAGTTATTCTGGAACGTCTAAACTTCATTAGGTAGGATGTTATATAAAATATTTTGCTATCAATCATTGGGATGTGAGAAAAGCAAAAAAGATTATGAGAAAGACTTATTCCAAGATAGTTAACAGTCAGCTTGCTTCCTACCTTCTAAGTTGGAACTATTTCTTGTCAGCTTTATTCCCGTGAGAAAGTGGGATTCTTATGTTAAGGATTGAAATTACTCAAATTAAGATGATTGGATAAGAATCGTTGGATTATTTTCCATAAAAAGGAGATTACTTTTAACAGTGAGCGGAATTTAAAAATTATGAAAAGGGTCAGACAATCCAGCATACTCAAAATTCAGAACCGCGTGTGTTATGCGAAATGAAGATGGGAGCACTGTACTTTCAGCTTCGTTGTTAGTCTTATATGTATATATCCTTTATTTTTCTCTGTGGAACTTTTTGAGTTAAACAGAAAAATCGACGAAAAGTGTCTCTCGTAGGTGCTAAATATCAATGCATGGTTATGGATAACATATGTATTGCTGACGATATTCCTCAGCAATTTTTCTAAAAAAATCCCAGTTTGTTTTTAATAGCGGGCATATAATACTCTGCGTATTGAACTGCAACTAACTAATATACACATTGAATCTTTTGAGAGACGCATGAATGCCCGTTTACGTAAGTTGTCAAACTTATTGGTTCAAACTCCTATTGCACAGCCACCAGAATTTAGTAATGGTGAGCATTTGTGGGGTTTTATATGTGTCAAATTCGTATGTTAACATCATATATGTTGTGGTGTCCAGTCTTGTCGTAAAGTTTTTGACGTATTTACATAAATATTCATTCAGACATTTATAAAACACAAAATAATCGAGCGAGGTCCATTTTATAGTTCCGCAAGGAAAATGTTGGCTAGAATGGGTCCTACACCGTCGATTTGTCCATATAGTTTCTTATTAAATAAAAAGTGGACATTCATTGTACATTTCAAGAGAAGCTCTTTCATAAAAGATATAGGAATGCCAACATCGATGTTTCGTCTTTTGAGTTGTTCGCATACAAAGTCCACTGTTTCCATAAGTGGTACATTGGTGAATAAGGAAGATACTTCAAATGATATCATGAATTTATTGTCAACATTTAAATCTTTTATCCTTTCAACAAATCCAAAAAGTATCCTTTACACTGCTTCACCAACTCGGTATGAAGAGTTCGACTAACCATTTGGTTACGGCATGATATGGTGAATTTAAGATATTTAATACTGGTCGAAGCGGTACACCATTTTTGTGCACTTTAGGCGAGCCATGTAGTCTTGGTGTGATCGTTCCAGTGGGTTTAAGTGATGTGTACTAACACTGTGAGATGAAGCCTTGTTGTTTTAGTCTTCTCAATGTTTCCGCTAACTGTTTCTCTATCTTTTCAATCGGATCCATAGAAGAGGAGATTTTTCAGAATTTTAGATTATCATTAAGAATAGTATTCATCTTCTCAAAGTAATCCAATATAGACAAATCGACGGTGTGCCAATGGGGTCACCAACAGGACCCATTCTAGCTGACATTTTCTTTGCAAAACTGGAAAATAGGCCTTGTTCGAATGTTTACATAACTAAGTGATGAAATGTAATCACACTACTTATTGTTTAATTCTTTTGAGTTCCCAGTGGAACATAGTGTTTCAGCTTCGAAATCTCATTTACAAGT